GGCTGCATTAGTCACCCTGCCTGTGCTGAGATCCAAATTCCACAGTTGCAGGCAATGAGTGGGAGTCTGCATAATGAATGAAGACAAGGTCAGCAGTACTTCAGACCGTGAGAAATTCACCACGTAGCTTCTGGAAAACAATGTAGCCAACAGCAATGCCACAGCCTCTTCCCTCCCACCCATGCCCACCAGGAAAGCCATAACTGCACTGATGGTATTGAATGAAATAGAGGTGAATTCACAATCTTCGACACCTCCAACAGGTTCAGGACAAAAGGAACAAGTTTTATCTTTTGTAAGAAAGAACTGGGGATGATAAATGGCCAATAGGAGCATTAGAATACTAGTCAGAAACCCATACCTCTTCAAGGAAAAAAATATCAGAGGATGGGGAAGTATACACAGGGATCACATACACACTACAGAAGCTGCTTCATCTCAGATTTTTGAGACCCAGAAAAGCTTGCTGCACATGATGGGCTCTCACTACAAGTTCTGTCCTACAGAAAATGCAGTTTCAGATCTTCTCATAGGTAGCAATCCCAGTTCTCTAGTAACCTGAAGCACCTTTGTAGCTATGCTAAAAGGCTGGTTGACCTGAACTCTGTAGAAACCCCTCTCAGCATAAGCACAGGTCTTTGGATGGTGAGAAACCATGATAGCAGCTTCTGTGGCTGCATACAAACATTCAGGGAGGTTAGATTGGGTTAAAAATGGCCACCCAATCTAACTTAGTTCACCCAGGTGTGGACCTTACTCTAGTTAGGTGGATGTATGTGCTAACAGTACAGAAGTCAAGGCCAGTTAAATTGGTCTAAAAATGGCCAACCAGCTCTAAGTTAATCCTGCCTCTGAGGTACACTCACCTTAGACTGAGCTGGCCATTTTTAGATGGATCTCCTGTCCTGAACATCTATACAGTTACCAAAACAACCCTAGGGCTGGAAAAGACCAGCCACTGGCCTCATCCCTAGGGCTGCATATTTCCTACTCCCTCCCTGACACCAGGGTATTTGTAGCTCCCCGGCTCCTCACCCCACTTCCAAGAGGAACCAACCAGCCCCATCTCCTCAGCCTGCCACCCCTCCCCCCTGCAATCCTCCAATCCGCTCCTGGTGCTGCTTTTACTGGCATTCACTGATGCTGGGAGCCAAGTGAGTTAGCCAAGCAAGTAAGGGAAGGAGAGGTCATAAAGGATTGGGGG